TGAGAAGTCCGAATTTCAGTTCAAATAGGAAACCTTTTATTTCCTAGTTATCTTATTCTATTATGTTTCCTAGTTTTTAGAAGACCTTTTTCTAGTAAGGATTTTATTTTATAATAGTATAAATAAGGCTATTTAGCCATTGGGAGAACACATCAATTTGGAGAACTTAGTTAGGCTTTGACGATTTGTATTTCAAGGTATTTTCTATCCTTGTTTTTAATAATATTTTGTTTTACGATTGTTAGTAACTAATTCTCTTTTGCTAAGGCGATGCCTTGAGCCTTAGCATGAATATGTAGTCTTTATTTAATTGCTTATGATATTATGCATGCATACTTTGAATTATTAATTACTGTGTTTAAAGTGTCTTTATATTTTAATGCTTAGCTACCATTAGGATGTTTAGATAAGTAATCAGATGCAATTCGGTCGGAATGCCACCAGAGGATTGAGTATTGCTTCTTGTGATTGATAGTTGTAAGTTCACCTAGGGCGAATGCCACGTCTTAGGGGTTGCATGGTTTTTCAAAGGCTTTTCACAAAGCATAATGAGTCATGCATGGTTATATTTGATCTGAATGTCACAGACGGATTGCTTGTTTGATATACGTTCTAGCTTAAATGCCATAAGTAGAATATGTATAAGGAAAACCTAACCTTCAAAGTTGCATGTGTAATTCATAAGTAATTGGTAAAACTATATAAGATTGTTAAGGTAATAGTGGAACCGTAGTGTCTTTTTATCATTATTTTATAAGATTGTTCCCTTTCAAATTGGTTTCTTTAATTGTTTTAAATTAAAATTCGTTTTTAATATTCTAGGTCATCAAAACAACATTTTTGAAACTTTGTTTTAAATAGTTAATTAAGAATTAGTTTAAATACAAATTATTCAATCAATCTATGTGGAAATGACCTGTTTGAGCCATTAATGCTACAACTACCTTATTCTCTTGCAAGTATTTTTGTGTGATTTTATCCCTACTTTTACAGGTGGTAAAAAATCATCTTCTTTACCTACATCAATTTCCCAAAACAGTCATTATGTTTTTGTTATTAGCACACCAAAACAATTGGATACACCATTGTGTTATTGTTACTAGCACGCCAAAACAATCACAAATCATTATTTTATGGCTAAATAGCCAAAATGGTCTCTGAGATTTGTATAATCAATAGAAATGGTCCCTGAGATTGAAAATCAATAGAAATGGTCTCTAAGATTGTCCACCATCCATGATTTTGGTCCTTTTGTTAAAAACTCTTTGGGCAATTTTCAAAACTTTGTAACTCAATCGATTCTTAATCAAATTCGACCCATAATATATCAAAATGAAGATAGGGAAGTGTAGAATAAGATTATACCTATTTGGAAGCCCAATGGTTGCCAAATATCGCCAGAAAATAGCCTGAAAGGTGACTGGTCCTCTGAAAAACTGGAAAACTCGCTAGAAATTGGGTAAACTTTAAACGTTCATAATTTCTTCAATACTCAACGAAATGGAGTGATTCAAAAACAAACATTATACTTCTCGATGAGATGAAGATAATGGTACCTTTCTTGATGGCTAACTCACCATGGTTTGGCCGGAAAATGGCTCGAAATTGGCTAACTCAAAAATGGTTAGCCACTTTTGAGCCGTTTTCCGGCCAAACCATGTCGAGTTAGCCATCAAAAAAGGTACTATTATCTTTGTCTCCTTGAGAAGTATGATTTTCATTTTGAATCACTCCATTTCGTTGAGTATTGAAGAAGTTATGAACGTTTAAAGTTTACCCAATTTCTAGCGAGTTTTCCAGTTTTTCAGAGGACCAGTCACCTTTCAGACAACCATTGGGCTTCCAAATAGGTATAATCTTGTTCTACACTTTCATAGCTTCATTTCGATATATTATGGGTCAAATTTGGTTAAGAAACGATTGAGTTACGAAGCTTTGAAAATTGCGTAAAGAGTTTTTAATGGAATGACCAAAATCATGGATAGTGGACAATCTCAGGGACCATTTCTATTGATTATGCAAATCTTAGTGACCATCTAGAAGCCAAACACCATCTTCGCTTGCCATCAATGAGAGAGGAGGGGGGACCTGCAAGAAAACACTCCGACGCGCAAGTCAGTCTTTGTTCAAAATGATTGTAGGAAATTGTAAAGTGATCTGATACTTCCTTCCCCTTTCTCATTGATGGCAAGCGAAGATGGTGTTTGGCTTCTCAACATGGTTACAAGGTTTACTTGTTGGAGGATTGGAGGAATCAAATTTTTCCGCTCCAATAGTTGGCGTCGTCTATGAGAATTCGTACAAAAAGCCATATTTGAGAAGTCATGGTTTCACCCACGCCACAATGGGGGCACGAGCCAAAAACCTGAATAAGTTTTTCTATTCTTCTCTTTGCCCAATTAAAAACCCTCGACTGTCTCTATATCCCCTGTTCTCATTGAACTGGATGAAGGAAAGCACAATCACTATAAGACGTCGTAACCGAGAGCAACGGTAAAACATGGGAAATTCTTCAGAGCGTAAAGCATGGGAAATTCTTCAGAGGCGAAGACGACTCTTAACCGCCATCACCGTTGCCGTTGTTCTCTTCCTTGCCCTTGCGATCGGTGACGGGTCCCCTGAAGCCAATACGGCTCGTCTACCTCAACAAGAATGGGAAGTTCCAGAGGGATCAAGGGGATGTCTCCATTGATATCATTGGTCATGCCTACCAAGGAATGAGCTTTATTCTTAACCAACTTTTCGGATTTCAAATGGCATTTACACATCGCCTATGTACAAAAGGGCCATGGCGTTGGAATGCACCATTTAAGAGAACTGCACTGGTTGAGCCTAAATACAATCTATTACTATTGGATAATGATGCTTTTGATCGGACAGAAATATGATGATGGAAGGATAATGCCCTGTGAAATCAGGAGCTTGCTTTGCAAAGAAAAATCTTTTATCGAGTTTAAATTCTACATGAAGAGTAATTTTATGTGCTTTTATTTGGAGATGAGTTTCACGATAAGTGAATTATGTGGAATACGCACACGGATAGTTGGGTTTGGAGACCCCTATCCTCAAACCATAATTGGCGATGAGACTTTGCATTCAAAAGGGATACATTTACAATGGTCAAACTACATTGGGTGAAGTTAATTATCCCAATTCGTCAAGGAACCAAACAGAGGAAGAAACACCATCGCAGAAAGAGAACATTGAGCAACATTCGGGGACACAGGACAAGCTTGGACCAGAGGCAATTCTACAAGGAAAGTTTTCATACCAAAAAGTTTGCATGGTGTGGGTGCAAAAAATAAGGCTTAAGCAAGCAGACACTTCCTAAATTTGGGGGAGTGGAGCTAGAATAAAGGGGCATGATCATGGAATATGGAACATGGAGAAATAGAAGGAAAGTGGGACTTGGAGTCCAAGTTTTTACGTCTATAAAAGGCTTAGAATCCCATCAGAACGGGAGGAGAAAGGGGAGGGAAGTATTAGATCGCTTTACAATTTCCTGCAATCATTTTGAACAAAGATTGACTTGCGCGTCGGAGTATTTTCTTGCACGTCCCCCCTCATCTCTCATTGATGGCAAGTGAAGATGGTGTTTGGCTTCTCAACATGATTACAAGGTTTACTTGTTGGAGGATTGGAGGAACCGAATTTTTCCGCTCCAACGATGAACTATTTCGGCATGTCAATAACAGATATCCGAAAATGTCAGAATTTTGAGCATAACAATAACTTAAAAGCCTGATTCACACTTATAATTATTTGATCACCACAGTAAATTTCCAATAACATAATGTCAAGTGGCTATATCATCCACAAATAATTATTGGAGGAAGTGCTCAAGAACCCCATCTACACAAATAAACCTAAATCCCACCAATGCCTCTGAAGGAAGAGCTCAAGAACCCCATCTACACACTTAACAAATTACCTATTCTAATTTTTCCCATCTGCTACTCAAGCAACCGATGTCGCTACTAGTAACTACTTCTCGCCGATTTGTCTTGCCGGTGTTGAAGATTCACGTAGTGCACTCACCTCCCTCCTCAAGAAAGGAGGCAACGCAAAGGCAACTGAGTGCATCTACCAAACAATCGACGACGTTATTTTGCTTTACAAGTACATCCAACGCAAAAGAAATGGATGCAAATACAGCAGATTACTATGTAAAATGAATCCTACCTCGGAGTTATAGAACGTAATGTTGTGATTGGCTCATATTTTGAGCTGGCAACAATGAAGTAACCCGTGAGTGGATTTGTGGCTTCATTAAAAGGCAAAGCAGGGAGCATGTTTTGTGGAAGACAATGGTGATGTTTTCATGATGCATCGTGATTGTGCTTGTAGTCATCATTTAAAGTTGCTACAAAGGAAAAGCATAAAGCAAGAGTAGGTTTGCTTTTGGACTTTGGAAGCATGATCCGTAACCTTTGGTTTGCTTTCATGCAAGTGTGCTTGCTTTCTTTGTAATTTAATGTAAAGAAAGAAAGGGGTTGCATGCTAAGTATGCTTGCCGAGTGAGAGGGTAAGCATTAGAGAGCATCAAGGGGGAGAGCATTCGGCTCTCCCATGGGAAAGAACTCTTGGGGTAGAGTGAGGCTCTTGGGAAAATTCAGGATTGGGTTATGTCGATTAAACTCATGTGTACTTGTACTGTTATTCTCATAGTGAAGAGCAATATCTCTCCGGGGACGTAGGCAGGTTTTTGCCGAACCTCGTAAATTTCTCGGTGTCTTTATTTCTTGTATTTTATTCTGTTTAACTGTGTGTGATTTTGGTGAGGTTGTAATCTGAATCTCGGTTCCGTACTAACGAATGGGCCAAGACACAACACTTAAGTTCTCTCTTGTTTGAGAGCTCCTTCTAACTTTTCAATAGAATTGACGGGATTTTTGAAATCAACGGGAGGCCCCGCCGTTGAGCACAACAGAAAACCTATCACACCACTGCATGACAAGTAATCTCACAAGTAAGAATAATTTCATGATATCAACCCGGTCTTAAGAAGGATCAAGAATCAGCAGTTAAGCGATGTGTTTAGTCTAGTCATTGTCAATGCATAAATAATACAAGTTCACCGAGAAACTCGAGACTTCTTTGCCATATTAAAAAAAAACATATATATATATATATATATATATAAAGGGTGAGAGCGAGAGTAGATTAATGCGTGAAAAGGAAAGTATTAACTGGGATAGGTAGGAACACTCGCCCAAGCATAATTGACAGACCCCTTGAATATTTGACGGCAAACAGAGATCATATCTTGAATAAGATGCGTATGGAGCCACATGTTCTCTGTCATATTACAGAGAACACCACCAGGCCTTAATGCTCTAGCTATTGTCTCAAAAACTGGCTTCTCTACAAGCTCTTGGGCTGGACCTGCATCCAAAGGAAACCATACGTTTAAGCACTACATTTAGAACCTTACTATAGGGAGCACAGAAAATAGAGAGTAACCAGAAACAAACATGTCCTCCGTAGGATTTATACGAACAACAGCTCAAAGACATCTTTGTATGCTCACAAATCAATATGACAAAAATTTGAAGTCAGCCAGCCAAAAAATGCACGGCAAAACTATTGTACGAGAAAAATCATACTGACAGGGTCTGACGAATCAACAATTACAGCATCATACTTCCCTTCAGGTGCAAGCCTTCAGAATTCAGTAGCTGACATGCATTTAAAATGAGATATAATGTGACAGCCAGCCAAATACAAAGTCAATTTGATTTTACCAATTGGATCAACAAATAATAAGTATTAAACCTACCATCACCGACATGAAGGTGGACGCGAGGATCCTGAAATCCAACGGCTAACTGAGGGAAAAACTTATTGGACACCTACAAAAAGTCAATCAAAAGAAAACAGATGGTCAGCTCAAATTCATAACAATCAAATACACAAAGGAGTACTTACACCACTTACATCTATAACCATCTTATCTATCTCACATATATCAATATGCTCAACAGAAGGATGGCGAAAAACCTCCCTAAGAACCCCACCATCACCACCACCAACAACCAGAACCTGCATCGAAAATCATATAGCACTTAGCACTGTCGCTGCAATAAGAAAACAATAACAACTTTATGAGGGCATAAAAGCTTCTCATTTTTATCACTTCTAATTTCTATCACTATATTCCAAGCACAAAAGAAGACCAAACTGCAATCACCAGGCTGTAACCAACTCAAATTATTATAAAGATTCGACATTCTATTCTCGGCCGACTAGGGAAGCTGGTTCATAGTGCAAATGGTCATCTACAGGATAACTTCAGCCAAATCCGAAGTTTGACAGAGCAGTACCATTGTGCAGATATGGTTACAAAATCATTGCATCCAAGTCAAGCCAAAATGAGGCAGAATAATACAATTTTATGGGCTAAACACCATGTGATGCCTGGCTGGTAACGAAAAAGGGATCCCTAAAGGTTCAGATAGCCTTTGCAATTCATACTACGACCAGCAACATGACCATGAGCTCATGTATTCGACTTCAGCTCACCATTACAGTGAAAACCATCTTAAGCTTTCAAAGAATATGCAGAAGAAAAGTGCATGAAGAACATTCAAACTCTATTCAAATCCCAGGTAAAGTGTTTCATTTTCTGAAATCAAGCAAAAAATTGATTTCAATCTAGTTATACTATGTGTTCTCATGGTCATGGGTGATCGTGATCAAGAGATTCAGCAGACTTTACACACACAGTCACACATACACACAACAAAAAACATGAGGGAGGGATGGATCATGTATAATTACTGTCTTGGGAGAGGAAATTGAACAAAGAGGTAGATGTGCTATCCTTTCCTGGTATGCACATTCATCTTTCTCACTCAGCTGGATAATGCCATCAAGAACAAGCACTTTTCCATATATTGAGGACTGCATAAAAAGGAGGTCATAAATAAGATTTAGAAAAGGAACGCAAGGGAGATACAGAATATTAAACTGTCTTAAGACAAAAATAACCTCAAACACCAAAATCTCTTGGAACTCTGATTTTCCCCTATACAGAATATTTTCTACTTTCAGTGAATGTGCTTCACGTGAAAAAAAAAATTAACCAAAACAAATACATGCAGAAAAACTGTCTCAATTTAGAGGTGTGAAATTTCACAAAGGAGTATTCCGATTAGAAGTGATAATTGTAAAAGAAGCACTCCTTTACTATGAATAGTGAGAAAAAGAAGAGAATAAATAAAAACAATTACCAAAAGCTTCAACAAGTTACCAAATGAAATTCAGATCATGGAGTTGCCAATACAAGATATCACTGAAGCAAGAAAAACTACTCCGTTCGTTTTATCTTTTCCTCATTACATGAAAACAGGGTAAATTTGACAAAGCGGTCCTCTAATGGACAAGTTTTCCTAAAGTTATACTAAGAATGAAGGATCACAAAATAAGCAAGAGATCATGACCAGCAATGAAAGCAACCTCAGTAAAGAACACAAGAAAGGGATCTTGATCCAGAAGTGAAAAATGAAGCATGCGTTGTGTGGTATATAAAGAAACTACAAATGAGAACACGAAATGTGGGGATGCATACAAGTGCGTACCTGGCCACATAGGGTTGTTGAAATAAACCTTTTTACAATAGCCTTCCCATCCATAGTCTTCTGGCGCCGTCCTCCATATATTATCTTCTTCTTCTTCTCCGTCTCCAGTCTCTAACAGTCAATACAAACTCCTAAGTAACATATAGCGGAAAGAATACATTCACTATAAAAACCACCTTACAGAATTAAAAAACGATTCTTCAGGCACAGCACAACACACTCATGTTGCACCAAGTTAAAGCATCTGTCTTAAACAATCAGATTAAAACAAACAGTGCTAAACTAATGACATACCAGAAGAACTATCACAAAAACGATTCCAAGCAAAAGGGTTTAAGTAACAGCATCCGGAATAAAAATATGAAAAAGTTTATAACTTTTCGTTTAAGTAAGCTTGATTTGCGCTTAAAATTTTCCTGTTAAAGCAAAAGGGTTTAAGTTAATCAACATCTTCAATCAATGCAAGATCTTTTCCATTTCAACACCTAAATTGAACAAAAGCATATCAAACTAAATCAAATCACTAAATTATCTGCAAAAGCTATTAATCTACTAATTAAACCATGAATTTATAAAAAGTCATTCAATTTGGATATTGTTTAGTCATATATACATGTTAAATTAATCAACAATTTTAGTAATAAATATTATCCTCATTTAGAACTATTTAGTTGTTTTATGCATATGACTGGGCCAAAATATTTCCAAAGTTGAATTTTTTGCATATATGATCTTTAGATGTGATAAAGATAATAATCGGACAGTAAATGTTCGTTAATCATAAATAGGAGTGTTAGCCTTATTAGGTTATACAATTAAAACACAAACGAATGAGTGACTGACCTGATTCCAATGGTGGCCATGGAAGTTGAAACCAAAAGTAGCATAGCACGGCAACACCAGGATCTTCTATAAACTCCTAGCCGAATACAACTACTCTATGGGAAGCATTATGTTGTGTGTCTAGGGCTTATAGAGACCGGTGTTTATAAATATAGGCTAAAAGCTAGGGTTTCCATCCATAAGGGAAACCTAAACTTACTTTCTTAGCCTCTAAGTTAAGTATCATAATTATAGTCAATTAAGGATTCCATCAATCCTATTTCCAATATAAGACACATGATATAGGAATAATATCTTTAAGAGATCGAATCACAATCATCATTATTTCTCCAATATTACATTCCTATTACATGTAGTAGACCACTTAAAGGTTGATTTATATTGGATAAATCCAACAAGGAGGACAAGTGAATCCCTGCAAAAACATGCATTTCATGTTGTTGGTCACTTTTGGAGAAAATTTTGCTTGGCTTTTCCCACAGGTGAGCAATTTAATCAATAGAAAACTTCATTTTAATCCCTAAAAAAGATGAGTTTTAGATTATAACCATATGTAAGATTAAAATCTAATTTTAGTCCCTAGCACATTTAATCATATCATTTATTAGTTGTATTTTGATGTTTTATTTTATCTTTTTATTTTTATTTTAATGTATTAATTACATTTACATTTAATTTTTATTTCATTCATCATAATATATTTTAATGTCTACATTTAGGCAACTAAATTTTTTATAATATATATTCCGATAACAATTTTGTATGTTCTTCATTTAGGTACATTAATACATTTGAATATTTTGGTATATCTATCGGTACAAACATGTAGTTACATTGATTTAATATAATGCATTTCGTTACGTACACTTTGATACACACATTTGAGTATTGACTTTTAGGTACATTAATTCAATTATTATTTCGGTAAATACATTTAGGTACATACATTTTGGTATTGATATTTAGGTACATACATTTTCGGTATTGACATTTAGGTTCGTACATTTTGGTACATACATTTCGGTATTGACATTTAGGTACATTAATTCAATATAATACATTTCAGTACATACATTTAGGTTCATTATAATATATTTCGGTACAATCATGTAGGTACAAATATTTTGGTACAAAAAAAGTCAATTTTATATATTTGGCACAATCATTTATGTACACTTATGTATCTATATATTTTTGTATCACAATTTTTTTTTAATATTTTCTCATTTACGTTCATTTCTAATTAAAAAAAATTAAATATGTGCATATTAATAAAATTAAAATTTAATATGGAGAGATTAAATAAAAATACACATTAAATAAGAAAAATTGAATGTAAATTTTGATAAAAGTACACTCAAGGGATTAAATTGAATATTTAATCTAGCATCAGGTTTTTTTTAAATTTTAATCTTTTACCAGGACTAATGTTCAAAAACCCCTTTAATCAATGAAAGAATCTCAGATGTTTTCTTGTGCAGCCAACTACCTACATAGTATATATATTAAATACACCAAGACGAGAGATTCTTTGTGTGTGGAATGAGTTCACTTCGTTGTTTCTTGTTCTTTGTCTTTATTCCTTGCCTCTGTTCTTTCCTCTTCGTTCTTTGTTCTTTGCTCTGTGTTCCCCGTCTTCTTTGTTCTTTTGCTCTTTGTCTTTGTTTTTTGGCTTTTCCCACCTGTGTGAGACGAATATATTTTATTCTTTAAAAGATGTAACAGACGTTTTCGTGGTTCCTACTCAATATTTTATTGATATCAATCATATATTCTAATCAACTACTTTTTGGGTTCTTTTAAGAAAATGGACATTATATTATTGGCTTACAAAATGGCACTCCTTAAGTCCAAATATCAAGTCATAATCGAATAGCAATTTACGTTGCATGACTTAACACGAGTTTCTATTACTATTATTATCATGTATTATTAACTTTAAGACTAATCTATAAATGATATATTGGAATAGAAGACTAATATTGGACATCATTTTTTTTTACAAAATTTTTGACACACATTTTTGTTCGGTTCATTTTGTAATGTATTTCAACGATTGGAACCGTCTATCTTTTATGTATTATCTCAAAGATCATATCTACAAAAAATTATCCAAATCTAAAATATATAACCCATTAGATTAAGGGTTTAGGTATTTTTGAAGAATCGTATTCGTCAATTTTTTTTTTACTACAAATGCATGCCTTATCGATTTTGGATTTGACTAATTATTTGCAAGAATGATTTATAAACGATGTTCTAATATATAGATGGTTTGGATCATTAAAACACATTACAAAATGGCTCCACAAAAACGCGTATTAAAAGTTGTGTAAAAAATTAGTGCTATGAATCCGTCCCCATTGAAATATAGACGGCCCTTAGAGCAGTTCCACCCTAGCCCTTTAGGCTGGCACCCAGGCCAAAAAATGGCCGACATCCCTTTTTTTTGCTCCACCCCAGCCCAAGCCAGGCCACAAGCCGGCCCAGAATCAATAGAGTAAATGGACGACCCATCTGACGTCATGCTGACGCTAGCGTGACGTCGACCACCTTTTTTTTTTTGCGCCAGAAAGGGAGTTGTTGTGGAGCCTGAGGAGCGGAGCTGGTCGAGGCGGGAAAGGGTGTTGGGAGGGAAGGAGCCACGGAGGGAGAAGGATGGGAGGACGAAGCGGACGATGAAGAGGTGTGGAGATGCAGAAATTTAAAATATTTAAAGGACATGAGGTGTGGAGATGTAGTAGTCGAAGCACTCATTGAGGGTGTAGAGGAGCTTGTTGTTGAGGTCGGCTTAGGATTTGAAGGACAGGAGGGCGACGGCGTCGGAGGATGGGAGGAGGAGGTTTGGAGGCGGCGGTGGAAATGGAAGGGAAGTGCAGGGGTGGACGGAGGTGGTGACGAGGAATAGGTGTGGAGACGCAGAAATTAAAAATATTTTAATAATAATATTATTATTTTATTTAATTAAAAAGTTAGAAAATAAAAGTCAAAATATTTTTTTATAATAAAAATTAATAATATTTTAATAAAATTGACTAGACTATTTAGTTTTAGAGGTGGAGATGCATTTGGCCTATTACTATTTATTGGGATCTATCACTGTTCACTAAGTGAATTAAATGGATTGGGTGCTGGCCTTTTTTTTTAGAGGTTGACTTGCTCTTAACATTTACGTCGTATTAAAAGACCTACGTAATATTAAAAAACTTACGTCATATTAAAAGACCTACGTGATAAACGTGGATTCAGTTTGTCTTAAAAGCGAATACATGGCAATGCAGCTAGCAGCTTCAGTTTCTGCAACTCAACTCAAAAGCTAGCTCTCTGCATTCTATTCTCTCTCTATCTTGTAAACTGAAAACCTCGTCAGTATGGCAACTTCAGATGCGGAGAACCCCCCAGCAGAGAAAGATGGCAGGTTCGTGTACACACACACACACACACACTCTCTCTCTCTCTCTCTTAAGTATTTCGAATTTTGAACTTAGTACACTCTTATCTGTCACTCTCAAAGTATAGTAGCGCACCATGTTGCGCAATAAGGCGTGCAATCTGGCGTTTGCGAAGGAGAATCTGTGATAAGACGTTGGTAATTCGTAGAGTCCTTAAATGCGTACCAAACATACGTTATTTAGAATGCAATGCTTGAATATATTATTATTGCAACACCTTATGTTTCTTTATTTTTTGAATTTAAAAACTTCCAAAACGAGGTAGATAGCGACGTCAAAAGTATTGCAACACCTTATGCTTCGTGCTATATTCATTGGAGGTGATGCGAAGATATTCTACTTAATTTTTCTTAATTGCAGTTCCAACATGATCAATGTCCTGGTTTTTCAATTTCTTGGTAGTCAAGTAGAACTTCATGTCTTGGACCCATTTCAATTGGCGTCTCACAAGTGTGAAAATTAGTGCTATGTGAATAAGGGATCCATTGGCATCATATTTACAACATTTGAGTTCTAATACATGATTTGGTTTAACGGATTAATCATGGAGGGCGTATGGTCTCAAAATGAGTGGTGCTTTCTAGGAAACTCAAAAGGTTTCTACGGCACGCTCGAAACTTATAGTTCGAGGCTTAAACATACCTGCATTCTCAATAGAAATATAAATATACGATATATGCAACTCAATTGAAAAACACAGAAACAATATTGCACAATATAATCGACAGTTAAATCAAATTCAATTAAAGCGAATAGCTTCTAAACCCATGTGTGTAGGGCAGTCTTCGAGACTCTTAATATGCCTCACAAGGCTAATATCAAACTTTTTCGTTTAAGTGGCAGCGGGGAACTTACCCTGATACAGGAGATTTTTAGTCTGGAGCGGGGACGTTATCTTATCATATGGAACAAACTATTTGTAACATCATGCATATTTGCTGTCTATCTGGATCCTTTCTTCTTTTACGTCCTGATCATCGATCAGCGTAAAAAGTGCCTTCAAATGGACAAAACGTTGAGTATTGTTGCTTTTCTTGTGCGATCACTCACGGATTTCGTTTTCCTGGTGCATTTGATATGTGAAATTTGTTACAATGTTAGCGTGAAAAGTAAACGCTCCACGGCGGTGGGACAAACGGGGGGAAATTCAGTTACGAAATTGAAAATCAGAAAGTTTATAGCTCAAAAGATGCCGTGGTTAACTGTCTTCACTGTAATAGACTTTTTGGCTCTTATTCCCCTCCCACAAGTAAGAAAAATTAACTGAACTGCAGTAATTTTTTTTTTTTTTTTTGTGGCTACCTGAAAATGATGGACTTCTATGTTCTAACCCTTTTTTATCTTTTGATTTTCTGCAGCTGCTAATGGTAGTTATGTTTTACAACATGAAGGGCTCAGGATTTGTGGAACACTTATCCTTTCTGAATTTTTTTCTTCTCTGTCAATATTTTCCGAGGATTTATCGAATTTACCTATCTGCCAAGGAATTCAAAAGGACTAATGGGATCTGGGCTAAGGGCCTGTACAACTTGATTCTCTACATTCTTGCTAGTCACGTAAGTTTCATCTCAATTATCATTCTATTTTAATACTTCGGTAATTACTAATGTTGGATTATGGATGCAATTTTTTTTTAAATGTTAGACTAATTATAAGGGGTTTTGTGTTTGCATGTTATGGATTTAGGTACTTGGAGCTTTTTGGTACTTATTTTCTATTGAACGAGAGTTAACATGTTGGCACATGGCTTGTGTAAAGTCTGGTAACAATTTCAGGGAATGTATGAGTACTTTCCACTGTGATAATCAGAGGACTACTACAAAATATATAACAATTCTAGACAAGTATTGCCCGTTGAATAATTCAGATGGTGGTCTGTTTAACTTTGGAATATTTCTTGATTCCCTTAAGGATCGAAACACAGAGCATATAAATTTCGGAAAGAAGTTCTTTTACTGTTTTTGGTGGGGCCTGCGAAATCTAAGGTTCCATTATATCCATTGACAATCAACAATTTTTATAAAGAATAAATTAAGTTCTCAGCCCTCATTTTTTGTTCTCATTAATTGAAACCTTTTTTATTTTTTTATTTTTGATCAAAGTCCTTGACTAATCCTCATGTCATTATTTGATTATTAAAATTATTTACAAGTCCTCATATGTCAATTTAAAAAATGAAAAACTTATTAACCATTTCCAAATATATCTTTTTAGTTTTTTTTCTCATATATTTGTATTTATAATTGGTACTCTTTTTTTTTATTCGAGCCAATATTCTTTTTAGTTTTTATTTCTACCTATATTTTTTTTTTTATGAATGTACCCATGCTAATTATATATATTTATTTTATTTTTCAAATATATCAATAATATTTCTTAAAAAAATATATTAATACTTAAGTGGGTACATTATTCTTTTGCTAGAACTATGGGAAGATTAATATTGGTCTATTATTGATTTTTAAGTAATTATAACATTTTGTAAAAACATTATTTAAATTTGTTTAAATTTCATAATTTGTGGGATATTAAATGCATAAATGCAGGAGTTAATTGCATTAAATGATGTCAGTGAGCTTGATCAAATTATTTAAGGGTAATGTTAAGAAGACTAAATTTGTAAACTAAATTTTGGAAACTAAATATGACACACCCCGTCCCGAAGGAGGGCGTGCTGGCCGTCACGTGAGAGTGACGTAACCATTTACACAGTTCGGAAGCTTTAAAAAAAAATTCCAATTACTAAGATAACACACCCGAGGGTGAGTCCTACTTTTGTGAATTCTGTCAGAACACCGTTGGATTCCTCGTGGCCACCAAAGCTCTGCTAACTTGAACCTGGAGGGGCGCAAAACAAAATTGAGTGGGTCAGTAAAACAAAGTTTTTCGAAGACTTTTCATTTAAAACATTTATAACCCATCACCGTAAAACCTGTATACTTTCCCATAAAATAGCATATATATAAACATATATATATAAGCAAAAATCTCAAATCTCAAACCTTTAACACTTTTCAGAAATATATATATATATAACCATATGAAATCTCAAAGCTTGAATCCCAAATCTTTAACATTTTTCGAGAAAAACATGCCATGCCATAAATCAAAATATAAATCAGGTGAAATAAGGAATCAATCGGAGACCCTGCAGTTGGTCCTATACGATTAATTCAATAGCTCAATATCTCACTAAGCCGGAGTCACCACAGTGACCTATACGGCCCTACTCTGCACATCACTCGGAACTACGTAAGGTAGTCTATACGATGAAAGGTGTAAAATACGCTCTAGTGCTTCTCTCATCATATCATCAGCGCGCATATCTAAGGTCACCCACCAGTCGGAACCCCTCTAATGGTCTGTACGACTGGCATGTCGGAACCCTCACATGGTCTGTACGACATCCACCTACTTGGATCCAAGGCGAGCGTGCGGTGTGGTGAATAATATAAGCACTAACACCTAGGGTGCAGATTATGAGCTCAAACATCTCAACAACAACAATTCAATGAATAAACGAACTCACCTGACTTACCTGTGCCTCCACAGCACCATGCAACATGTATGCATCATATATCAATCATATAACTCATATGAAATTCACATTTTCCAAATAATTCTATGCATGGCATTTTCAAAACATAATTTCGCATAAAAGCATTTTTTCTGGGAAAAACAATAGTATATAGGTAATACGAAAACAAAACTGCCCACTCACCTGGAGTTCGCCCACAACTCCCTAGCACCGTACATCAAGGCGTCATGACGATTAGCGCCTAGAACAACAATCAAATCCAACCTCAGAAATTCTGCCGATAGAATACATAACTTATATAAGACACGTCACTACGTAGTTCGATCCGGATGATCTGCAATTCAGATTTCAAATCCGTAACTTCCAGAGGTCCACAATATACCTCTAGGACAACATCCTAAAATTTCATTACCATCCAACGGTCGGATCTTCGTCAATTTCCAAAACTAAGTGACGGTTAACATTCTATTTTATGAACTTACAACTTCAATTCCAGAAGATCCGTAAATCGGATTCCCAATCCGTAAGTTCCTATAATCCTCAAATATTACGTATTACAACGTATCAAAGTTTGGTGACGATCCAACGGTCGGATCGTCAATTCACATTTTTCACCTAACCACGAATCGTAACCAACCTAGGTTCAATTATTCAATTTACGTCCATCAATTATCAAAACAGAACCTAGAACCTTAATCACAAGCTAATAATGACATTGGCGGGCAATTGGCCACGCGCCGCCGCGCGGGTGGCGGTTGGCCGCCCCCGGCTCGCCGGAAAATTCAACTATTTCCAAAAATTACCAAAATTTGCAGATTTGAAGATCTCAATGAGTAGAACAACTTTCATACCTGAGACCAAGGCCAATTTGGCCTGGAAGTGCTTCAATTTCACCAAAACCGTGAAGAACCCTAGAATTTGGGTGTTTCCAATTCGACCTTCAAACTTGTTCCAACGCCTCAATTACCTCTTGGGCTTTGTTCTAGGTCCTAAAGGAATGCTAAAGGTGTTAGTAATTGAAAGAAAACATTTCAAAAATTTGGAGAATTTAAACAAAAGGGTCGCGGCACCCGTAGGGGTGTTCTTCGCGAAATCACAACGAAATTCAATGATTCTTGGGGTGAAACGTGAAGAGGGAAGGCCTAGATGATGATTAGGAGTGGTACCTTGACTCAATTCGTCGAAAAATTGGACGAAAACAGCGAAAACCCGCCGATTTGGAAGCTTGGGTCGCGCGGGTCAAGGGTGACCCATTCCTCCTGTTCCCCCGTGCACCACTCTCCCTCCTTTCCCTCCTTTCCTTCCCCTGATTGGTCAGCTTCTTCCTCTCCCTTCTTCTGGTTCACTCTCATCTTCTTCTTCTCCGATTGGGCATTTCTGCCCAGTCTCTTCTTCTTTTCTGTTTTCTGTTTCTTCTTCTCATACACATACACACACCAAAAACCTTTCCCTCATCCCAGCCATCCATTTCATAAAAGAATTTCTATATTTTACTAAAATTATAATTCCTTAAAATTCCAAATTTCAAACGTTAATAACTTCTTCAATATAACTCCAAATCACGAACCGTCTGCGCCCACGCGTCCGTAACGACGAGTACTACGAGGATATGTCAAGAAAACAAATCTTAGATGGCACGACACAACGATTAACCTCGAATGATGTGCGTGCCTCAAAGGGCATTTTTGTAAAATCCTTTATTAAAACTTTAAAAATTCTTAAAATTAGGGACGGGCTGTCACAATCTACCCACCTTACAAAAATTTCGTCCTCGAAATTTACACAATCTTTACAATCCATTAATATCCATGAAACAGCCCGAAACACATCTCTCTCATTCGATTCTTTGACTACTAAGTAGCTTCTTCCACTGAAAGATTCCTGCATAAACTTTCACCAAACTCATAGTCTTATTTCTCAGTACATCATCTTTCTAATACAAGATAGGCACTGGCTCCTCATCATACGTCAAATCCATATTGACTTCCAAAGGTTGAGAAGGTATCACTCGTGAAGGATATGAGGTTTAATGTCGAAGTATCGAAACATAAAACATATCATGCCCTTTCATCGGCTCTGGAGGCAACTCAGCCTGTACGTAACTTCACTGACTCGTTCGATGATCACATATGGTCTGACGTTCTCATACTGAAGTAACATACGCTGACGTCACCAGTCGATCAATTATTATTCAAATTCCAACCTAACTATTTTGTATACGAGGAAGCTTGTCCACGAAATCCATAGTAATATTCTCCCATTTCCGCCGTGGAATGGGAAATGACTACATTAATCCAAAAGACTTATTTCTTTCTGCTTTAACCTGATGACTGATGATACGCCTACTAACATACTTCGCCATTCCTCTTTTCATACCCGTCAATAGTACATGAACGAATGGTATGATAAATCTTAGTACTTTTGGGATGCATTGTAGAAGTGGAATAATGTACATCGTCAAAATTGCTTTCTTTAATTCCACACCATTAGGCATAAACACTTTGTTCTTTTGCATAGGCTTGCCATCTGATTCTCTAACTCTAAGGTCCTTCTTTTTCCCGTTATTCCTTGCTTTAAATAAATTCTTGAATTTCTTCGTCAAACGCTCGAGTATCGAGTACGATCTACCAAATGGGTCCAACTTAGAAATTAGCAAGTAAGGCTTCTTCTCGATTTTTTGATACTCAACTTTACTCCAGTAGATTTCAAATCCACAAGAAGATGAACATAGCAAGCGTACCAAGCATTAATTCTCACTGGGGTCTTCCTACTAAATGCATCAGCCACAACATTAGCTTGACCACCCTCGTCACACAATCATAGTCACTAAGCAACTCATTCCACCTTTGTTGCCTAAGATTAAGATACCTCTGAATAAACAGATATTGGGTACTCTTTTTGATTTGTAACAATCATGCACTTTTCTTCCCATAAAGACAATGTCTCCAAATCTTCAAAGCAAAGATGATAGCTGCTAATTCCAAATTATAATTAGGGTAATTCATCTTATGAGATCCCAATGGCCATGAAGCATAGGCAATCATCCTACCATGTTGCATCAACACGCATCCAAGTACATTCAAAGAAGTATTATTATAGACCACATAATTACCACTATCGTCTGGGAGTGCGAAAAACAGATGCATGAGTGAGGGAATACTTTACTTGCTGAAGCTCTACTCACAATTTTTTTTTTTTAATCCCACTCAAACTTAACCTCTTTTCTCATCAATCTCGCCAAGGGCGAAGCAATAATTAAAATCTTGGACGAACTATCGATAATATCCTGCTAATCCGAGAAAACTCTGAACCTCAGTCACAGTTCGCAATTGTTCCAAATTCTCAATCGTTGCTACTCTTTTAAGAATCCATTTGAATACCTTAAGTAGATATAATTAATTTATCCAACATTAGCATTTGCTAAACTTAGCATACATCAACGTTCCCTCAATCTTTGCAACACCAACTTTAAATATCTAGCATGCACTGCTCTAATCTTATCAATCTCGTCAATGGCAAACAATAACAACCCGGTCCAGATATCACTGGAATACTTCCTTCAGCAAACTCATAAAAGTAGCAGGTGCATTCGTCACTCCGTATGGCCTCCCAACTTGAAATGACCATAACGAGTCCTGGATTCAGTCTTATGAACATCCCCACTGTTAATCTTCAACTAATATCATTCAGACCTCAAGTCAATCTCAGAAAGTACCCAGGCGCCTCAGAGCTGATCAAATAATCATCAATACACAACAATGGATAACAGCTCTCAATCGTTACCCGATTCAATTACCTAATATCAATACCTAGCCTTAATGTCCATTTTATTCCTCACAAATAAACCGGAGCTTTTCCAATGTGATATAATAAGTTGAATGGAACTTTTAACTCAACCTGAACCAATCTCTAACATAGGATTTGTACCTAAAAACAATTCAATAATAAAACCCACATCTCTGCCTGGCGGCAATCTAGGTAAGGCATCTGGGAATACACCAAGAAAATGTCTAACCATCTTTACATCTTCCATACTATTAGGATCAACATCATTTAGCACCATATGAACTCAATATCTTGGCAGCCTTTTGATAACAATCTTCTTTGCTCTCTCAACAGGAATAATGGCATAACTCACTCCACTTTACTTACCCCCAAAAGTAACCTCTGGTCATCCAGGTCAACAAAAATTAACTGATTCCCCATAGCAATCTAGCTTGACACAATTATACATTTCCTCTACCAGAGTCATCTTGTCTCAGAAATCTGGGATCACTAGTAAATCTATCACTTCGCCTCTGACCAGTGGCAGTAAAACTTAAGCTGGGAAAATTAGCTCTAATTTCACTTCCTTTGAAGCTCTGAGTCCTCCGAGGTCTTTGATATGACGAATCTTTAACTTTATCGTCTTATTCTGATTCTCATTCCTTTCTTATTCCTCTTTACTCTCGCTGATCATATTCTCAAAGTCTTCAAAGCCCAACAGCATCCCGTAAACTCTTGGTAAAAAGTACAATGGATAGTGATCGCCAAAGAACGCAACTTCTTCTTATCATCCAGCCAAAAACGACATAACACCTCGACCGAATTAACAACATCATCAGAATGGAAATAAGGCAAGTCTGTAAGCTTTCTATAATATTCATCCGTCGTCATTTTCCTTGTCTCACAATTGCAATTTCTTGTTTACTACCATCACAATATGCCGGGGGAATGAACTTTTCTTAAACAATTCTTTAAACAACTTCCAAACAGTTGTCCTTCCGATATCGTCGGATAACATTCCTATCTCCATCAAAATGCAGATTCATCACTCAAAAACTAGGTAATCATCTCGACCTACCTATCGGGAGGAAAATTCCCTTAACCTTGCATAATCTGAAACGCCTTTTCCCAATTGATTAAGCCATCAATCTGCTCCCTTAGGTCCTTCATATCCCTAAAGGGATTCAAATTTAACTTATAACCAGTCTCAAAAGGTCCCTTTAGATAATAGACTGAATCACAATGGCAATAGTTTCCCCCCAAACTACTATATCCGGGAAATTAGGCTCATCCGAACTACGTGGCTCGCTACGAGGCGGTATAGTTCTGACAGAAGACACTAGGAAATTATCAAGATGTCCAGAATTGCAACCTAGGCTCTGATACCAACTGACACACCCCGTCCCGAAGGAGGGCGTGCTGGCCGTCACGTGAGAGTGACGTAACCATTTACACAGTTCGGAAGCTTTAAAAAAAAATTCCAATTACTAAGATAACACACCCGAGGGTGAGTCCTACTTTTGTGAATTCTGTCAGAACACCGTTGGATTCCTCGTGGCCACCAAAGCTCTGCTAACTTGAACCTGGAGGGGCGCAAAAACAAAATTGAGTGGGTCAGTAAAACAAAGTTTTTCGAAAGACTTTTCATTTAAAACATTTATAACCCCTCACCGTAAAACCTGTATACTTTCCCATAAAATAGCATATATATAAACATATATATATAAGCAAAAATCTCAAATCTCAAACCTTTAACACTTTTCAGAAATATATATATATATATATATATATATAACCATATGAAATCTCAAAGCTTGAATCCCAAATCTTTAACATTTTTCGAGAAAAAACATGCCATGCCATAAATCAAAAATATAAATCAGGTGAAATAAGGAATCAATCGGAGACCCTGCAGTTGGTCCTATACGATTAATTCAATAGCTCAATATCTCACTAAGCCGGAGTCACCACAGTGACCTATACGGCCCTACTCTGCACATCACTCGGAACTACGTAAGGTAGTCTATACGATGAAAGGTGTAAAATACGCTCTAGTGCTTCTCTCATCATATCATCAGCGCGCATATCTAAGGTCACCCACCAGTCGGAACCCCTCTAATGGTCTGTACGACTGGCATGTCGGAACCCTCACATGGTCTGTACGACATCCACCTACTTGGATCCAAGGCGAGCGTGCGGTGTGGTGAATAATATAAGCACTAACACCTAGGGTGCAGATTATGAGCTCAAACATCTCAACAACAACAATTCAATGAATAAACGAACTCACCTGACTTACCTGTGCCTCCACAGCACCATGCAACATGTATGCATCATATATCAATCATATAACTCATATGAAATTCACATTTTCCAAATAATTCTATGCATGGCATTTTCAAAACATAATTTCGCATAAAAGCATTTTTTCTGGGAAAAACAATAGTATATAGGTAATACGAAAACAAAACTGCCCACTCACCTGGAGTTCGCCCACAACTCCCTAGCACCGTACATCAAGGCGTCATGACGATTAGCGCCTAGAACAACAATCAAATCCAACCTCAGAAATTCTGCCGATAGAATACATAACTTATATAAGACACGTCACTACGTAGTTCGATCCGGATGATCTGCAATTCAGATTTCAAATCCGTAACTTCCAGAGGTCCACAATATACCTCTAGGACAACATCCTAAAAATTTCATTACCATCCAACGGTCGGATCTTCGTCAATTTCCAAAACTAAGTGACGGTTAACATTCTATTTTATGAACTTACAACTTCAATTCCAGAAGATCCGTAAATCGGATTCCCAATCCGTAAGTTCCTATAATCCTCAAATATTACGTATTACAACGTATCAAAGTTTGGTGACGATCCAACGGTCGGATCGTCAATTCACATTTTCACCTAACCACGAATCGTAACCAACCTAGGTTCAATTATTCAATTTACGTCCATCAATTATCAAAACAGAACCTAGAACCTTAATCACAAGCTAATAATGACATTGGCGGGCAATTGGCCACGCGCCGCCGCGCGGGTGGCGGTTGGCCGCCCCCGGCTCGCCGGAAAATTCAACTATTTCCAAAAATTACCAAAATTTGCAGATTTGAAGATCTCAATGAGTAGAACAACTTTCATACCTGAGACCAAGGCCAATTTGGCCTGGAAGTGCTTCAATTTCACCAAAAACCGTGAAGAACCCTAGAATTTGGGTGTTTCCAATTCGACCTTCAAACTTGTTCCAACGCCTCAATTACCTCTTGGGCTTTGTTCTAGGTCCTAAAGGAATGCTAAAGGTGTTAGTAATTGAAAGAAAACATTTCAAAATTTGGAGAATTTAAACAAAAGGGTCGCGGCACCCGTAGGGGTGTTCTTCGCGAAATCACAACGAAATTCAATGATTCTTGGGGTGAAACGTGAAGAGGGAAGGCCTAGATGATGATTAGGAGTGGTACCTTGACTCAATTCGTCGAAAAATTGGACGAAAACAGCGAAAACCCGCCGATTTGGAAGCTTGGGTCGCGCGGGTCAAGGGTGACCCATTCCTCCTGTTCCCCCGTGCACCACTCTCCCTCCTTTCCCTCCTTTCCTTCCCCTGATTGGTCAGCTTCTTCCTCTCCCTTCTTCTGGTTCACTCTCATCTTCTTCTTCTCCGATTGGGCATTTCTGCCCAGTCTCTTCTTCTTTTCTGTTTTCTGTTTCTTCTTCTCATACACATACACACACCAAAAACCTTTCCCTCATCCCAGCCATCCATTTCATAAAAGAATTTCTATATTTTACTAAAATTATAATTCCTTAAAATTCCAAATTTCAAACGTTAATAACTTCTTCAATATAACTCCAAATCACGAACCGTCTGCGCCCACGCGTCCGTAACGACGAGTACTACGAGGATATGTCAAGAAAACAAATCTTAGATGGCACGACACAACGATTAACCTCGAATGATGTGCGTGCCTCAAAGGGCATTTTTGTAAAATCCTTTATTAAAACTTTAAAAATTCTTAAAATTAGGGACGGGCTGTCACAAAATAACATGGAAGTTGATGATTGGTTTATTACTTAAGCGTTAATAACGTGCTCATTACTATTGGTGACACATCATTTTTATAAATTTAGTCTCTCTAGCATTACCCATTATTTAAACAAATAAGATTTCATTCTAACAATTATGTTGAATATGGACCGGTACCAAAATAATCCTTTTATAAAATATGCATCGAATAAAAATTTTGGTGTTATCATATTCAACAACATAGTCTAATATGATATCATGTACCTAAATATTTTGCAGTACTTTTGGGACTAATCTGACAACAAGTACGTATGTGTATGAAAACTTGTTTGTGGTTTTCATTTCTATCGTTGGCTTGCTACTGTTTACATATCTCATCGGAAACGTGCAGGTTGGTATATTTAATCTCTCTGTACTTTAACTTTCAACAAATTTTCCCGTGTTTGGGACTGCATGCGGAGATCATTCTTCGAGTATGTTAAGTAACCATTTGATTTGTGCCGAGACAGACTTTTATGCAGTTGGAAGCTACAAAACAAGAGGAGAGGAGACGAAAATATGCACAAGATGACGTAGACAAGTGGATGTCCATAAATGAAGTCCCTGATCATATAAAGAGACAAATCTTGAGTAGCATAGAAGAACAAGAATTGGAACAAGAGAGTGATGCTGATCTCCATAATTCTCTGTTCTATATTCGTCCCAAGAATATCAGACCACATCAGATGCTTCATTTTTGCATGAAAACACTTAAGAACGTATGTTCCTCAAGCTCCATCTCTCACCATTCATTTATGTTATACATTGTTTTGAAACAAAATGATATTAACATTCAACATTTGAATTACAATAAAGATAAGGTTGCACCACATAATCTTAAAGTTTATAGTCCAATATTATATAATAATGCTAAGTTAGTTAACAACACGGAGTAACATTGTTATTACTATAGCTAGGTAATTGCATCCATTTTCACTGCAATGTTGTTCTGATAATATATGTTTGTGCGCGCTCGCATGTGTTTAGGTAAAAAAGCTTCAAAACATGGCTGACGAAGTGTTGAAGTCGATGTGCGACTGTCTGAAGCCAGTGACGTACAATAAGAACGAATTCGTTTTTCGAATGGGAGATCCAGTCGACTGCATGCTGTTCATTATTAAAGGGACAGTGTGGACGTACGCGTTGAGTGATAGTCAAGCTGGGCAAGGAATCTCATCGTTGGCCACCAAGCGCCTCGGGAAAGGTGACTTTTACGGGGAAGAGCTTCTTGATTGCGCATCAGACAGTTTCACCGAACTTCCAGCCTCCGGCAAACATGTCAAATGTCAGACAAAAGTAGAAGCATTTCTGCTCATGGCCAACGACTTGGACGCTGTAGTTTCCGAACACCGGCTAAAGTGGGAGGAAAACGAGATGCGTTCTCAAGAGGTGGAGATCATGGCAACTTAAAAAATGTGCATTGATGTCATAATAATATACAATAGCGTTTTAGAAAAATGCTATTCAGCCCACGCTATAATAGCTAAAGCCTTTTCCACTATAACGTTTCAGAAATGCTATTAATAGAAATCATAGTATTTTGAAGTGCTATGAATTTTCTTTAATAGCGTTTATAAAATTCTATGTGTGTAGATGATATCATAGCATTTGGAAATGCTAAAATAAAAATAGCAAAACTCTTTTGTTCTTTTCATAATTGTGTTTATTACATGCTACTTCACAATTGATACAGCTGTTACAAATTATAGGCTATGATATTCAGTTTACAACTCAAAAGTAACATACATTGATCTCACATTGAATGACTGAAGGAAACAAATTATCAACTGCAACGAAATCTCTAATCTGCCAAAAAGAAAGGAGAATTTATAAGAACAAAGTTTTCTAACTGCAAGAAGGATTTCATCTGAGATACTCTGAGTTTAAGAAAGTGAGCCACATTCGCCCTCGAAAGAGGAGCCGGCAGGGGTAGTGGAAGAGGAACTCGGAGCCATAAGGGAGCGGTGGGTGGGGGCAAGAAGCAAGAAACCTTGCTAGGGTTGGCAGCGGAGGTAAGGGGGTCGAGAGAGTAAAAGGGAGTCCAGGAACCTAAACGATTGACACTTTATAGAAAAGTATAACCTTGATAATTCATTTATGTGTAAAGTGTACAATATATATACAAGTCTTTGACTTGAAGTACAAGTAATATTTAAGGATAATAAATACAAGATCAATGAGAAGGAGAATCCATCTTTCCTAACACACCTACAGACACCAACTTGACTATGAATGGAATGATTACCCCTTCACAGACACCAATTCAAAACTTAAGGAGCCGAGAAATAATAATATGAAGCTAATTAAAAGCTCCCATAAGCTAATTGAGACAAAGAAAAAACAATGCACAACCAGGCCACAGGGCAAATCAAGCAGCATCACAAGCCACAACGGGAAGACAAATGAGACATGCATAAGCTTTTGATAAGGAAAATAGTTCATTATACAAACATATATCAAATCATATATCAAATATAAAATAGGACTTCAAAGTAATCAACTTAGATTTAAGATGACTTACCCGAATTGAAGCTTTCATATCTTCTTGAAATATATGAGAGGAATTACCTGCTATTTTCTGTAACATGAATATATAAAATTAAAAGCTACAACCACTATTAAGGGAAGCTTCAAATGATAAACCACTTACTCTCGAGATTCTTTAATGTGTCCAAACACGAGCATATATGTCATATTTTATTATATAAGTGTAAGGACATTTGAAAAACTTTTTTTGTCCATTTGTATAATTATATGTGGCGTACCGTCACGTAGTCCGAACACATTGAAAATCTCTCCGCTTATTGATGTTTAAATACTTACCTACACGCTATTGTGGCACAACCAACTTTCCACATACCCGCTACAGTGGTTTCCAAATACCCGCTACGGTGGGAGAAAAACGAGAAGAAGGGTTCTCAAGAGGTGAAGGACATGGTAGCTTCTACCATACCAACAGCATACCGTCGTGCTCTCAAGCCTTTTCCGTAGCGTTTTTGAAACGCTATAAAATGTTTTTATATTATAACATTTCAAAATACGCTATTATAGATAGAAATCATATTGTCTTTTAAGTACTATTAATTTTCTTTTATAATGCTTAAATAAACTCAAAATTTCAAAGCCTTTTTTCCTTTGTGAACTGGAAGAGAATCATCACATATACGAAATTAACTAAAGACTACATACACTTTTACTTTATCTAATATGAACTTAAAAATATGTTAAAAGTAATATCAGCACATTCAGGAACGGCATCAAATACATGCGACAACAAGAACAAACTTATACTTACGGTGTATCTAAGAAACACAAAGAGGCCACATAGATTTTTAAAATTTCTAAAAAAACAAGAGAACAACCAACAAGGAAATGCACAACAAACACAGATCCTCCTCGGCTAACAAACCATCGGTTCACTCTGATATCACAAGAGATTTTTTAGTGTGACCAGTACATAGAGTAGTGCACCATGTATTACTATACAAATAATGAGATATGTGTGTTAAACAATTAATTACTTAAAAAAATAAAATTTCTCACACTTCTATAAAAACACGTTGTGTACCACTCGTGTTCCGGTCACAAATAAAAATTTCTCCAATATCAAAGAGTATATGGACAACAAACCTAATGTACCTCTAAATATACGCGATCAATAATTACAGTCCAGTGCCTAAATCAAACATATTTCATCAAATTCATCATAGATTATTGAAAACAAAGGTACGAAATTTAAGCAAAATAGCCATAAACTTGGACATCATCGAAGCTCCAGCGGTTGAAGAGCTTCACGTCATAGTGCGACTGCGTTGGTTCCAGTACAGGAGTAGCAACATCAGCAGCGGCCTTGGTTTCTGTATAACCGCAATTCAAACTAAAAAAATTAGAAAAGCTCAATACTCTATACCCTAGTTGATTAAAACACCTTCACCCAGAAAATGAGATTACAGAAATTTGATCACTATTTGGCAGTGCCTGCATCAAATGTTCCAAATTTTGAACAATATAATTAATTACGGGGCTTAACCCATATATTTATACAAATCAAGTTATAGAAAAATAAGAAAACCCAAAAATAGGACAATTTCTTAATCATGGGGTAAAAATATAACATTTCAAATATGCACACACCATACACAAAAATCAAACAGAAATATGATTTTCCTACACCTTGAAATAACTTAATTGCTCTTGTATATAAATGGGTTATTTGCTCCCATTTTTTTATTTCTCTCTCTACTCTCTCTCTTTCCCTCTGCATCTCTCTTCCCTTACTTTCTCCCTCATGCACTCTCTCTCCCTTTCTTACTGTGCACACACGATGCACTGTCATCCTAACCAACACCGTCCAAATCGAAGCCACCACCAATTTCATCTCATCCTCACGAGTCCAAAACACCTAGCCTTGTCCACAATCGTTGAGATCGAAACTCAAGCATGCCGCAAGGTTTCCAGCCATTTTTCGACAACACGGCAAACAACGGAGGCTCGAGACCACCACCACTAGACTCGCATCGAGGGTGGGAACAAAGTCCAGTCATTAAGTGTTGGTGTTTTGTTTGATAAAATTTTCAAGATTTACTCACTGTATGTACATGACATGCATATGATATATTCATAAATGCGAGCCAACCCAAAAACCTATATGAAATAATACTTAGAAGTTAAATTAGGGTTTGTGTTTCATGTTGGGGCCTATGGGTTGTAGAATAAATTTCAAGTTTTTACATGCTACAAAATTAGGATGAAACAATTTCTGGTTCAAGCGTCCAATTGTATAAATGAGTGAAATTCTTTTTGTAATGTGCATATGGTGTGCATGGCTACATCTTAATATGAGAAGCGGGAATGTTCACTAGTTATGATGCATGTATGTTGTGCCCTAGAATTTAGCAAGTATGACCACAACTTAGTTGCCCTTCGCGAAAAAAAAAAACTAAAAAAAGCCTAGAGGATGTTAAGAATCATGCGTGTCCATGAAATAATGACAACGAGTATCATGTTTTCCATGCGCACGGTAAAGCGGTGATTGATATACGTAACAATACTTTTCAAACTGCCACTGTAACCTTATATACGTAACATTTATGTTTTAATTGTATCCAGTATACCAATAGGTTGCAGTTAAAGTTTCTTATTAATGTGAAAAGCAGCTCGTTGCTCAATCTTCAGTTCTGTGCATATCATGTGCCTGTAATGTACATATGATTTGCATGTGGTGTGCGTATAGTGTATATAGTGGTAACGTCGCATGTGATGATGTCATTTTTCTGATTTCGAAAAGAAAGTTGTGCTCCCTGGGTTTTTGGAGTTGGAATATTATTATGAAGTTAGTCATGCACACCATATGCACACTACATGCACATTACGGAAAAAATTTCACAAATTTTTGCAATTGGACACTTGAACTAGAAATTGTTCCATCTCAGTTTTGTTGCACGTCAAAACTTGAAATTTATTCCATAACCCATAAGTTCCAACTTGAAACACAAACCTAATTTAACTTCTAAGTATTAATTCATCTGGGTTTTTGGGTTGGCTCAGATTTTTGAGTATATTATGTGCATGCCATGTACATACAGTGGACAAATCTTGAAAAATTCATCCAACAAAACATCAACATTTAATGAATGGACTTTGTTCCCACCCTCGACGCGAGTCTAGTGGTGGTGGTCTCGAGCCTTTGTTGTTTGTCGTGTTGCTGGAAAATGGCCAGAAAACTCGCGGCCTACTTGAGTTTCAATCCCAACGATAGGGGATGAGATTCTTGACAAGGCTAGGTTTTGGACTCGTGAGAGCGAGATGAAATTAGTGGTGGCTTCAATTTGAACGGTGTTGGTCGGGATGATAACGCACCGTGTGTGCACAGTGAGAAGGGGAGATAAAGTGTGTGAGGGAGAAAGTGAGAGAAGAGAGAAAGGGAGTGGGAGAGAGAAATGAGAAAATGGGAGCAAATAACCCATTTATATGTGGGTAATTTAGTATGCATGGTCGGTTTGTCCTATTTTTGTCCTAAAATTAAGAAATTGTCCCATTTTAGAATATTTCCATAAAAAATGAGATAAATAAAATTAGGAAGCAAAATAAAAGGAAATAAAACACTAACTTTTAATCACATTAAGAACAATATATGTGATTCTTTAAATTCTAATTTCAATTCAGAAACCCAACTGAAAATTGAAGCTTAATTCTCAATAAACAATAATATACCGAAGCATTAATAATAACGAATCTTAGTGCCCTATTGTTGAGTTGATTTAGACATGGTTCTTCTTCCTCTCCCTTCGCTTCTCTTTCTCTCCCAAATTCAGACGAATATGAGTGACACGGGCTCAAATGAAACAGCATGACACCAAAGATTGGAAGATTGAATTGAGATCAGTGGACCCAAGATTTTCATCGGTCAGGATTTTGGGTCGGGGAGGGTCTGAGGTAGCAGTGGTGTCGGCGTCGTCGTTGTGTTGTGAAGAGAGAGGGTATAGAGCATAGCAGAGAGATCCTAAAGAGATATTAGACAAACAAAAAAATTGTTGTTAAGGGCAAAATCGAAAACTAATTGTTTGGGCAATTTTAATTGGACTGGTAGATTTTAGTTT